CACAGGTCACTGGTTTATATCCGGCTCGAAGGACCAATTTTTATGTACTGAGCTTAAGTACGTTTCCTTGAAAACTAATCCATGAAAACATTTTCCGTATGCGAATTTGGTTGACTGGATTTTGGTGCAACAGGAACGTTGTTCAATAAACACAACTTAATAAAATGAGATGTATTTATTTTAATACAGAGATGATACTCGGTTAAATGCTAATGAATAACTGATTGAAAATAACAAGAGCAGACTGCCACTCTTACAGAGAAAACTGAGTAGTCAGCCCTTTTTAAATATAAGAAAAAATATGACGCAGTTCTCCGTTTCTTGTGTGGTCTTTGAAAGCACCAAGAAACTTGTATACGTCGCATTTCCTCTTGGTAACATTTTGTTTATAGTATCTAAATATTGTAAATATTGTTTTATAAAACACATTAAATTGACAGTGTTTTATTGCACTACACATGAAAATAAAAACGTATCATTATATAATAAAAATAAGTAAAAGGTAAAAATAACGCCGAATTGAACGTGTTCGTTCAAATTCCTTAGTTGGTGATTTGGAATTTTTAATTTTAAAGACTCTAAATAGTTCAATTAATTTAGAATGAAAACGTTCTACTGGGCTATTGCTGTTAGAGTTTCCGGCGGTTGTGAAATGTAATCTTACATTGTGGAGTTTGCAAAAGTCTATTAAGAGGGATGTTTTGAATTCTGTTCCATTGTCACATGTTATTGATTGGGGAATTCCAAAATGAGAAACAAAGTTAAGAATGTTTTCAAAAACAGTGTGTGAATTACAAACGGGTTCCAAAACATAAGCTTGTGCGTAGCGTGAAAAAACGTCTATTATTGTTAGGAATTTTGTACCGGCTATCTGAAAAGTGTCCATATGAATAGATTCCAGAGGTTGTGTTGGTGTAGGTGTAAGAGAAAATTTAATTTTTGGTGGATGTCGATCGTATTTAGCTTGTTGGCAGATGTCACAGTTGTTAATAAATTCGGTTAATTTTTTTTTCATGTTGGGCCAATAATATGTCTGTTTAAGGGCTAAGAGGGTTTCATTTATACCACGATGACAAGTTTTTTAATGATGGTATTTTATTAATTCTTTTTGTCTATTTTCGTCTTCGATGTCAGTTAGTAAAAATGTTGAAAAGGTTAATCGAAATGCGTTGTTTTTAAATGTTTTGGCAAGAGTGTTACTTATAATAGGAATTAAGTCTAATTCCGATTGTTGAATAAAAATACAATGTATTTTTGTACAGTTGTATTCAATAAAAAAGCGTACAAGAATTAGAATGAGAGAAAACTGTCAAAATAATATTATTTCTTAAAACCGGCTTATCACTGACATAAGTCATTAAAATAATTATTATAGGTTATAAAGAGCATTGACGCCGTAGGTTAATTAAATAATATTACAAAAATTATTACCTTTTAATAATGAAAAAAACAAACGTTAAAAAAAATTTAATATTTAGTCATGCATCCCTGTTTTTCTATTACTTGAGCCAATCTATTTTTGATGAACTGAATTAAATTTAATACAATATTTGGATTAATATCTTCCCAGCAGTATAGTTGTATAGTTTCCCATAAATCCTCAGATATCTCAAAAAAGCAGCATCCTGTTCAGGGGTGGACATTTTGGGACGACCTGAACCAACTTTTTGGTTTAGTAAATCTTCCTGTTCCCAGAGTTGCTTAATTTTTAATATAGATTTTTTATTTCTATTATACCTATGGAACGCCGTTTTAGTTAATATTATTTGTTTTTAACATTTTTTAAATAAAAATCATTTTTATGATTCTTTACTTATATTGTTACATTTAATTGATTGTTTAAAAACCCTGCCTATACAGGGTGTCCGGGAAAAGGAAGTCAATCCGTTAACCATATATTCTTTGAGTTAAAACAATAAGACTTTCATAATACCATTTTTCAATTTAGAGCGTCATGTTCGATATACAGGGCGACAAAGTTTGAAATTTAAAACTGATTTTTTTTAATAATTCGAGTAATTGATAAGATAATAAGTTCAAATTCGGTACACTACTTCAACATAAATAGTTACATTTTTTGAGACCAACAAAGCAAAAAACAATTGTCAAATAATCAAAATAGGGGGGTCCAGTACTCACTGACTCCCTATTTTTAGTACGTGCGCCAATGACTTCCAAACGGTATTTTTTCAGGTAATCATTTATTGTTAAAAAAAATTTGTCTCTTATAAAATTTTGATAAAATGATTTGTTTTAGAGATAATTTGTAAAGTAAGGGTCAGTCCATATAAAATCAACCAAAGGTTCTTCCCCCAACCATCTCCGATTTTGATAATTTTTGGTAAATTTGTTTACCTCACTAAAAAACTCAAAAATCCCATATATGAATTTTTTTCGATGGGTGGTTTTTGTTTTATTGATATTTGAAAATCAAAAAATTCCGATAAATTTGGGTTTTGCAAGTACTTACAAAAATAGCGATATCTTGTAAACTATTAAAAGTAGAAAGGTGAGTGATGGCTTATTTTAAAGGCCTATTAGAGACCTTTTTTATGATATATCACATGACCTAAATTTTTTCAAAAAAAAATTAAATTTCAAAAAATTTTATGGATTGACCCATACTTTACAAATTATCTCTAAAACAAATCATTTTATCAAAATTTTATAAGAGACAAAAAATTTTCAACAATAAATAATTACCTGAAAAAATACCGTTTGGAAGTCATTGGCGCACGTACTAGAAAATAGGGGGAGTCAGTGAGTACTGGACCCCCCCTATTTTGATTATTTATTGTTTTTTGTTTTGTTGGTCTCATAAATGTAACTATTTATGTTGAAGTTGTGTACCGAATTCAAACTTAATATCTTATCAATTACTTGAATTATTAAAAAAAATCAGTTTTAAATTTCAAACTTTGTCGCCCTGTATATCGAACATGAAGCTCTAAATTGAAAAATGGTATTATGAAACTCTTATTGTTTTAACTCAAAGAATATATGGTTAACGGATGGACCTCCTTTTCCAGGTAGATTGAATGTTGAAAAAAAATGTTTCTTTATATTTAATTTTTTCTTTTAAATTTTAAATTTAAATAAGAAATTCAATTTATAATGTAACAAATTAATTTAACAATTATTTAAATTTAACTAACATAAAAATAGCAACCATTTAAATGAAATAATTAAAATTATAAACAAACAATTTAATTCAAACCTAATAATGTAGCGAATTATTTTGACTGATGAATTAAAATGTTACATGATTTAAAATGACTGTTGATAAATTTAATTCTTTCATTTTAATTCAGGAATTAAAATTATCAACAAACATTTTAATTGGGCGATGGCGGGCAATGTGAATACTACTTAAAAAGTTTACTTGGCAACTTCGCATCTTTATTAAACCGCAGAAAAGTAACATGCAACGTTAAAACCATTGAAATTCAATGGCATTCATTATTATACCTCTTCACTAAACGGTCACGTCTTTTCGCTAGTTTCAAGATGCAACATTGCCACGTAAACCTTTTAAGTAGTTCTCATATCGCCCGCTAGCTGCAGCGCCCAATTAAAATGTTTGTTGATAATTTTAATTCCTGAATTAAAATGAAAGAATTAAAATTATCAACAGTCATTTTAAATCATGTAACATATTAAATCAACTAACAAAAAAATAAGAAACATTTAAATTAAGAAATTAAAATTATTAACAAACGTTTTAATTTTAATTCCTAAATTAAAATGTTTGTTGTTTTTTTGCTTGTTGAATTATTATGTTACATGATTTAAAATGATTGTTGATAATTTAAATTCCTTTCATTAAATTCAAAGCTTTTACGTGCCTGTTTGAAACTTAAAATAAAAATTTAAATATAAAGAAACATTTTATTTAATTAATCAATTTAAATGGCACAGTTTTTAAAACAATCAATTTAAATGTAACAAAATAAATAATGAATCATAAAAATTATTTTTGGTTTAATTTATTAAAAAATTTATTTTTCAATTATAAATTAATTTAAATGATTGTCTATTTATTATGTTACAATTAATTGATTGTTTAAAAACCCTGTCCATTTAAATTGAATGATGAAAAAAATGTTTCTTTGTATTTAAAGTTTTTATATTTAAATAATGAATTAAATTTATCATGTAACAAATTAATTCAACAATCATTTTAATTCAACTAACATAAAAATAGCCACCATTTAAATGAAAGAATTAAAATTGTAAACAAACAATTTAATTCAAACATAATAATGTAGAGAATTATTTTGACTGATGAATTAAAATGATTGTTTATTTAAAATGTTTGTTGATATAAAATGTTACATGATAATTTTAAATGGATTTAATATGATTGTTCAATTAAAACGATTGTTGCATTAAAATGTTACATGATAATTTTAATTGGGCGCTGAAGTTTGCGGACAGATTAGGTATTAAATTTGGGTCTACGCGTCTAATGCCTATGGTTTTTGTAGCATATGCTGGCAAAACAGGAATTACAGAGACTTAGTGATTGACTTCGCCTTAGACTCACAAAATTGACTACACTCTCATATACCTATTATAGGTATATGAGAGTGTAGTCAATTTTGTGAGTCTAAGGCGAAGTCAATCACTAAGTCTCTGTAATTTCTGTTTTGCCAGCATATGCTACAAAAACCATAGGCATTAGACAGTTATAGGTATAGGTATATGTATATGTTATAGTATAACTTAGTTATAGGTATAGGTATATGTACACTCTAGAAAGAGACAAAGCGATAATCTTGAAACAATCATAGACATTAGACGAGTAGACCCAAATTTAATACCTAAGCTGTCCGCAAACTTCAGCGCCCAATTAAAATTATCATGTAACATTTTAATACAACAATCGTTTTAATTGAACAATCATATTTATTCCATTTAAAATTATTATGTAACATTTTATTTCAACAAACATTTATTTAAACAATCATTTTAATTCATCAATCAAAATAATTCGCTACATAACAATAAAAAGCATATTCATATCTATAGCATATACCCAGAATGTACCTGAACTTATATTCATATTCTTATATTCTTAGCATGTTCCACGAATATATAAACATGTACCACCTATATTCTAAAACGTATATTCCCGTGCATTTATTCATAGCATATGCTAAGGATATTTCGCTATATGCTTATAAAAACTTTACAGGATATACTTTTGACTAAGTTGTAGCATGTACGTAGTATATGCTTGTGACATGCAACATAACAACAGCGCCACCTGTTGCTCGATCTGTGACAGATCGATCTGTCACAGATCGAGCAACAGGTGGCGCTGTTGTTATGTTGTATGTCAACTCGGCCGCACGCCATTTTATTGGTTTGTCTTTTGTCCGAGGATTTGTTTATCGTAAAAAAGTTTCAAAACAAACGGTTAAAGGTTAAAGTGATGTGCAGTTAAAATAGTGCGTAAACGGTGGCCACGGGGGCATTGTATTCTGTGGGCATTGCATTGCACTCCTCTGACAAGGGGGTTATATTTTGTGGTGTAGGTCGTAAGTGGTGTAAGCCCTAAAAGAAAACACTAAATATTATATATATTATACACAGAGGTGTAGTCCCTAAGTTTTGTATTTGATGTGCGAGTTTATTGAAATCTGGAAAGGAAAGACTGAAAAGCTTGACTTTTTAAGGTTAGTTGTGTGCTAAGAATGTAGTATACATTCTATAGTATTGATACATACTTTAGTGTGTAAGTAGGTAGTTATTATAGTTAGTTGTGGTTAAGCTGAGTTGGAGGACATACAATGTTCACAAAAAAACACCCAAAAAGTAAACGCTGGCTTAGACGTATGGTGACTAAAAAAACTCGTGAAGCCGAACTTTTGCTTACTTTAAATGACACTCTTAAGGTTTCTACTTCTATTTCTTCATCTCCACCATCTCCTAAACCAACATTTAGTAACAAGTGTAGTAATAATATTGATTCAAGTCTGTTTGAAGTAAGTCCTACTATTCATTTTGCACGAAGTGATCAATCTGAGTTTAAGCCGCTGGCTCATTTGACTCCAACACAGTCAGCCACATCAAACAATATTTTTGCGTAAGGAATACGATGTTACCTTATGTCTCATTCTTTTTGGGACACCCTGTATAATAATACTTCCTATATATATATATTTTTTTTTAGGTTGGCTGACAAACAGCATGAGGAAGAACACATTACCTAATACATATTATAACCTTTTTTTTAATAAATGTTATTAAGCATATAGGTAGCTGTATTTTTACCTTACCAAGTATGTTCACAGAATATGCTATGTATATATAGCCAAGTATTCCCAGTATATTCTTAGAACATTCCCAATTGTAGTGCATAGCACATGCTACTTGTGGCCAAAAGGATATGCTAAGCATTTCCCTAGTATATGCTCAGAACATATTCCTAATATCCTTATACGTAAGAAGTTGATTCTGAGCACATGCTAGGTATATTATTTTGCTATGTGGGTATTATTATGTTTGAATTAAATTGTTTGTTTATAATTTATATTCTTTCATTTAAATGGTGGCTATTTTTATGTTAGTTGAATTAAAATGATTGTTGAATTAATTTGTTACATGATAAATTTAATTCCTTATTTAAATTTAAAAATTTAAAACAAAAATTTAAAAATTTAAAACAAAAATTTAAAAATAAGGAAATATTTTTTTCATCATTCAATTTAAATGGGCAAGGTTTTTAAACAATCAATTAATTGAATAAAAATAAATAAAGAATCATAAAAATGATTTTTATTTAAAAAATGTAAAAAACAAATAATATTAACTAAAATGGCGTTCCATATATACCACAGTACGAATTGACCATTCTTCTTCGATTCTTGATACTATTTGAGCCTTTTTAACTGACGAGGCATTTTTATTTTCTACTGTCAGTTATAGTGACTTAAGTCAGTGGAAAGCCGGTTTTACGCAATAATGTTGACAGTTTTCTCTCATTCTAATTCTTGTACGCTTTTTTAATGAATACAACTGTAGGTTCAATATAATTTTTAAAAAATTTAATAATTTCCTCTTCGTAATTTTTTCCTAAAAATACAGTTATTCGATTTTTCGTTTCGAATAGTTTTTGTTTTATTATATGATAAGTGGCTTGTGCTTTTTGTTGAATAATAATTTGGTTTGAGTAGTGGTTTGTACAATTTTCTGTAATGGGTATGCCTAGGATGGGATTTTCTACTGCTGAATGGACAGTTTCATTATCGCTAAAAGGTGGTCGTATTTGGATATCTGAAATTATGTTCATTTTGGGTTTATCGTAATTTTTTGGATCAAAAATTTGTTCTAATTTGTCTAGATCTTCAACTGTAACTTCTGGTAGGTCATCTGGTAGGTCATTAATTATTTCTTCGATGTCACCGGGATTACCAACTATTGATTCGTTTTCAATGGCGTTAATTTCAACACGGGATAAAGCGTCTGTGGTTTTTATGTCGTGCTTTACTTTATTTGTGAATGAAAGCTTTTGTTCGTTTCTATGAAATATGTCGGAATATTCGGAGCAAAGGGTTATAGTAGCCGTTTTCTCTTCTGAATTTTAAATGGTCATATCTAATTAAATTTTTGATGTTTTGTAATCTATGATTTTTAACATCTACTTTAAAATCGTCGATTTGAAATATTTCAAAATTTATTTTATGTGAATCTGGAAATGCATAGACTTTAACAGGTTCTTTAAATATTAATTCGATTGGTTCGTCGGAATAGTTGTGAATTTCAGTTTTAGCAAAACCATTTTTGCTATGCTAAGTGTTTCGGGCCAATATAGATTTTCAGTTTTATTTTCAGTAATAATAATGTCGCAATTATCTTGTGACACGGGAATATTAACAAGAGCGATTTCTTTGGCATTAATAAGTATTTTAGAGTTTTCTTTACCGAAGTTTCTAAAAATTAAAGGGATATTTATTTTATTGTTAGTAAGCTGTTTATTTGGTAGGTCTATAAGAAAATTAAAACGTTGTAATTCTTTTAAACCTAAAATACCATCAAAGAAGTTAGGAAAATTAACTAAAATAAAGGAAATATTTCCGGAGGAACAAAGTTCGGCTAAAACAGGAATATCTGCCTTAAATCTAACGTCTTTCTCTCCAGTACCTGTTTTAATCTTAGTAGGGGAATGATATATTTTTTCTGGATAATATTTTTCAGCAATTAAGGGGTTTATAATTGAATGATAACAACCTGTATCTATAAGAAGTTTCATAGGGGGATTTTTTATTTCAATGTATGGTAAACTATTCTTTTTTATCTCAGTATACATTTCTGCTACGTGAGATTGTTGTTCGAGGCAACTATGGAAAAATTTTCATTATTATCTTTACACGTGTAATTCTGAGAATCTTCTTCGTAATAGTAAGGGAAATAATTAGAGGGGTCGTCATTTTGATTATTGGGGTTTTCTATTTCGTGTGTTGATTCGGGTGTTTCAGATAAAGAAGGGGTTTCGTCGTCGATTTGGAAGAGTTCTTCTGAAGAGAAATTCCTTGGACCAGATTCTAAAATTATTTTCTCTATTAAATGAGCGCGGGATTGTAACTCTAGAAGTTGTTGACATAGGTTCGGGTTTGTTAGTCGGAATTTGACCTGTTGGTTTAAATACGTCTTTCGGGGGTCCGAAAACTTGTTTATTTGTAAAAAAGTTTTGTTTTAATGGTCGGGGCTGTAAGTTTATAGGTTGACTTTGAAATTTTGGCATATTTGGTTGTATAGGTTGGTAGGGATATCCTTGAGCGTTCGATTGTATTGGTTGATATGGATATCTTTGAGTGTTTTGTTGTGAGAATCGAGGGTTTGCCATTGGATAGGACGACATGGAAAATCTTGGAAATTGTTGACGGGGTACTTGTGGTTGTTTATAATAAGCTTGATTGATTATTTTTTCTGCTGCGGTCAATTCTGTATTATTGGGAGAATTGACTTTTTGAGCTATAGTACTTCTTAAAACTAGCCATAAAAAGCTCTTGTTCTAGACACTCTAAATTTCGTTTATCGCCAAAACATGTAATTAATGCGTTTTTTATTAGAACCCAACTATTAAGTTCAGCGCGATTACCAACTAATAGCTGAGCTCTATGAATAAATTTAGTTTGAATAACTCTAAGTAAATAATCTTTTCAAATTGGATCGTTTGTTTTGTCATACAAATTATCAATAATAAAGTCGCATGACGCGATAAAACTATTAAGTAAATTAACGTCACCATCATAGTAAGGGATGGTATTAACGTACATTTTCAGCATATTTAAATCGGTTCTCTCTGCAGTAGCTCCGGTAGCTGCAGCTGCAGATGGATTGTTCATATTTAAATTGGTATCTGATAAATTTAAATTATTAAAGAAATTGCTTAAAAGGTCATCTAATTCTGTCATAAAATATTAAATATATTTTTTATTAACTTATCTTTCGCTCCTTCAAGTTCTATTAAATATAAACTTAAAATTAACTTTCCTATACGGGGAAAAATGGGAAAACAGGAATACTTGGACTTACTACTTAGATCTTTGTTGTCCTGCTGGGTGATTCTGCACTGGGTCTCAATTCTTGTGTTTTGAAGTCTTCTTTTTGAATGTTCAAGCCTTTTCGACTCAAACCTTTTGAAAAACTAGTCTATAAGTAGTCCATAGGAAGTGTCACTTTTTTCTGCGCCAAACCCACACGAAAAACTTATAGTTCGTAGATAGTCCTTAGGAAGTGCTCAGGTAGTTGAACTCACTTTTAAAGTCTCCAAATTAAACTAAGTTCGATTGTGGCTAAAGGATTAAATCCACGTTCACTACGCGAAATCGGTCCGATACCGTGATTTTTTCGGTAATAAACTGCACACAATCCTACCGACTGCGCCAATTAAAATAATTAATTTGATAGATTGGTTTTTAAAAACAATCTTTATTAATTATATGAGGTTTACAATCGAGAAGCAAGATACAGAATGAATTAAACTAAACTAAAATGTAATAATCATGAACATTAGAGATAAGAGATAATTCAAAGAAATGAAATATAATCTTCGTACACCTTGTACATGGTCATCAAATACGTGCATATAACTTATAACTGTTAAACAATCGTATGAGATCTACAAGTGAGCAGCGATTGCGTAATTCAACTCAAGTCCAAAGAGGGGCTTTATAAAAACATAGTTATGTGAGTTCTTTGGTTTTCTAAATTTTTAAAAAATATGTATTTACATTATTTTTTCTATTTTTCTTGTGAAGTAATTTTAAAAAGGAAAAGTTTGTCTTGGAGTCCAAGCGAATTAGTTGAACGGTAGTTGATTTTGCGTTGATTAAACAATCGTATGAGATCTACAAGTGAGCAGCGATTGCGTAATTCAACTCAAGTCCAAAGAGGGGCTTTATAAAAACATAGTTATGTGAGTTCTTTGGTTTTCTAAATTTTTAAAAAATATGTATTTACATTATTTTTTCTATTTTTCTTGTGAAGTAATTTTAAAAAGGAAAAGTTTGTCTTGGAGGCCAAGCGAATTAGTTGAACGGTAGTTGATTTTGCGTTGATTTAGTGTTAAACTCTATAAATGTTAACAGGAGTTTTAAATTTAGCGTTACTTTTAAGTTGTAGCAGTTAATTTCAACGCTCAGTCGACGCAATATATTTTCGTTGATTTGAATCAAAACTTGCTTCACAATCAACAGAAATATATATATAGTTTTGTGTTCACAACCGAAAACTCAACTGTACATAGACTTAAATTGTTGGGTTATTTTTTATAAAATGGGGATTACTTTACGTTGATATTTTTTTTCTCAACACAAATCTAACACAATTGTAGGTGCTTTGATCTATGAAATAGTAAGTGAAATATAAGTGACTTTGCGACCCAGGAGAGACAAGATCGGATTCCCAGGGTAGAAATACACTGG